GTGTAGTGTGTGTGTGACGTGCGTGCGTGCGTGCGTGCGTGCGTGCGTGCGTGCGTGCGTGCGTGCGTGCGTGCGTGCGTGCGTGCGTGCGTGCGTGCGTGCGTGCGCGCGCGCGCGCGCGCGCGTTTAGATTACTGTAGCAAAGATTTGAAGATTACTGTAAAAAAAAGTAATCACTCATCAGCAGCTGTTTTTCATTTAACAATTAACTTTAAAATAATTTGCTAGAACTTATTTTGTGGAATTAACCGTACATATGTATGTGCGTGTGGAAAAACGATTTATATATGAATATATCAAATTATATTTTAAAATAATGAAAGCAAAAGTTGAATTGGACTGCAGGAAATATCTTGATGAAGGTATCAAGAATTGGTCCATAATTTAGAACTAAATACAGGAATGCTTTGTCATGGAATCGATCATTTTCTTCCAAATCCTTCCAAAAGTAAAGCATGTATTATGTTTATACTTTACATAAGTAAAAAAGAATATTATAATGAAGTTAAAGTAGAAATTAATTTACATTCGACACGCTTGTCGAAGGTCGCTTATAAATCTTGTCTTTTCTTTTGCTAAAGTTTTTCTTTCATTCAGTCTATTCAATTTGATGAGCTGTATGATTAATGAGATACCAAAATGTTAATTATCGACACGTGCTTCGCGATGATCATTTATCATGAATGAGCATAATCACGTGATCCATTATCTCATCGTACGATTGCAGCCGACTAAAACAAATAATTGTAATTGAGTTTTTTTGAATGATGCATTTTAAATAAAATAATTGAAATATCTTTATATATATATATATATATATATATATGAAGCGATATTAATTTTATTTCTTACTATTATATCGAGGATGAGTCACACAGCCTGCTGTTCAGACCTCGATTGAAGTGTGTTATGTAACATATCTGTATTAAAATAACTGTATTGCCGATTTCACGTGCACATGAAAGATAAAATTATTTATCACACAAACACAAATTGTTATCATACAATAAACTAAATTGAAAGATTTTATGAAATAAATAAAAATGGAAAGAAAATATGTAAATTCTAATTTGATTGAAGAATGATTCATAAGATCTGGAATATAGAACAGTTCATATATAGAAACGTTCCATGAGCAATAATTAATTATAATATATAGTTACATCTTTTTTCAGATACACAATCATGTATCCATTATCTTTACAAATAGTTACTTTCGCATATTTTATATTCTACGATGAATGATGTCTTGATAAAATCATATCATTACTTATAAATCTTATAAATATCGGGGCATACTAAAAATTAAAATGGTATGGATTTGAAAAATGTAGAAGGTATAAAGTTCTTTTTCTAAATGCGCTTTTTCTACCAGCCAGGCGTCGTGTTTGCTAAACGTCGCATACGCCTGAAAGAAAAAAAAGAAGTGATCAATAAAAAATATCTCTATCCAATTAAATTAAGATCTATTTCAATATTAAAAAATTCATTTCTTACCGAGTATTTCGATCTTGATCGCGTATCTTCTTTTCCATCTCTGCGTCTGTTAAAGTTTCTAAAAATGGTGCCCATTGATCAGCTTCTGACGGAGGTCTAAAGGGAACTTCAACGGTTGGTAGAGGTGCTTCAGAAAATGCATACGTTCTCTGATGCCACGACAATTGTCCACGTACACTTTAAATGGATATAATTGTATAATTAGTTAAATAAAAATATAGCTTACATATTTAATAATATATAATTATATATAATTTATATCTGATTTTAAAGTATTCAAAATCATAAATATTTTAATATTTTCATCTTTAATTTCGCGTTTTTACACTAAATTTAATTCTATAGAATAAAGACTCTTGCTTCACCTGTAAGCAATAGCAGTAACAAATTCTCCGCCGAGACCAAGTTCCGCGCAAAGTTTCATCGCAAATTTCTCTGGATTGTTTTCTTTTTCTGACATGTCCCATTCTACTTGATCTACTAGAGAGGTATTGCCCACATGTATATTCAATTTAATTATGACTCTCTGATCACACTGATCTTCCAGGATTGTTTCCTGAGGGAATGCTTCTATTTGTTGTCTTATTGCCTGCGCAATTGCAGGAACAAAAGTTAATGGATTCAAGTCTAAATCATCACATAGTACTTCGGCAAATTGTTCAGGTGTTATAAGACTTTCTGTGATAAAAAAATACATCATTATAATTTGCTAAGATTCTTATCATTTTTAATAAATATTATGTATACGATGCATACCATTTTTATTCCAAGTAAAAGTGTCTCTTAATTTTTGGCCTTCAATTTCCATATCTAAACGTATTGGGACCAGCATTTCCTGCTGTGCTGCATTCTCTAAGTTTGCTGATGGGTCTGTATCATCGAAACTATATTTCACATACAACAAGAATCATAAATTTATTATATAGTGGAACTTTATATAGAGAATTATATAGAGAATTTATAGAGATTTTAGTTGTGTTTTCTTACCATAATGGAAATGTTCTGACTTTTTTATTGTGCACTCGATTGCGATTTATTGGTGTGGCTTGAGGAACGGCATCCAAATGTGAACTATTGGGTAAGCTGGGTACCCATGCCATTGACTTTTTAGACTTACCCTCTCTAGGCGCTGGCGGTTCAGTTGAATGTACAGACACAGCTTTATACTTATCATCGTTGCCCTCGATAATATCTTCTACTTCACTAGCTCTCAGTAATGAAACACTGGATGCTAGAACGTGTTGGCTTAACCCAAGTTCTACCAATTTCTTACGTTCATCATTGGTTATAGATCTTCTAAACATGCCAGGGTATCTCTTGTACAAAGATCCACGAAAAAGACGCAGATAATTGCCAACTTCTGACCCAATGCAGTAATATTCTCCATTTTCCTCTACTTGAAAACTTATTGGTTTATCTCCATAGGTACGTAATGCCATTTTGAAGGCTAGTTTCACTATAATTAACAAAATCCAAATTAAATAAATATTTATTTCAGACAATATATAAGACAGTTATGGATAGATTACAATATGTAAAAATACACTTGAAAATATTAATTTTAAAAAGTTTAACGAAGCATTCAGCAATATTTAATCTATTTCTATTAATATAACTTGTTTTTTTCGAATTCTCAGAATTAAAAAGACAAAAGTAAATTAAATCATAATCTATTTTAGAAAAAATGGGCACAATTCATTCATCAAATTTATTTAAACTTTATTTTTCATTTTTTCAGAATGCGCGTATCGAATTATAAATGTTAAATTGATAAAAGTCAACGCAATGGTTGAATATTCATCGCAATACAATATAAAACAAGGAATATAAAAAACGCAAGTGTTTCGAAATAAATACTTTCAAATAATTAAGGAATTCAGCAAATAAAATCGATCGCACCTGGCAGCAAGAATAACTTATCACTCGCTTTTAAGCTCTCATAAACCTCTTCTCAAAACCTCACACGTTTGTTTACGTCTCCTCGCAGACAAGACGTATAAAATCCGCTCGCTAGCGGATATCAGTTTGATTTTTTTTTTATCGTTGATGAATAAACGTAGAAAGGTAACGTTAGGTGCATTCAATGCCTGGAGATTCTGTGGCCTAAAAGAATCAACCAATCAGGAGTGTCCATCTCCACATCTAATCAGACACGTTCACACATCTCGTTCGGTGTCTAGAAATTTTCCAATGAACCACCTATCAGAAACCTAATATTTAATTGATCAATGTGAACATCCTGAAAAACGAATTTATGGGTTGGTTCACCATTTTCGATTAGCTTGATTGGTCGATTAAATTTAACGATTGCCAACCAGCTAACAGCAACTAAAATTAATTACATTTCATTTTTCTTGTTTATTTTCTGAAAATTATGATTTATTTATATAAAATATAATACTTTTAGATAATAATTAAACATTATTTTTAATCAAAATAATTAAAAAATTCGGTTAAGAATGATCAATTTTAATTTTGCAGTTGACAATTATTAAATTTTTTCAACCGATCGAGCTAATCGTGAGATAGATCCTATTAAACCGATATTCATAGTCAGTTCTTATATAAATTTAAAATTGTCTTAAGATTACATTTCAACCAATAGAATGACCGTATAAGCTTACTTAAGACGATCTTAAATATAAGAATTGACTACGACATGGATCTATTCCTTGGATTTAACGGCTATCAAATCCGTCTGCACACGCGCATTTCATGATCGGAACAGCCAATCAGGAGAGAGTTGCTTATCGATAACCGTTGACGGCTGGTCATCTCTCCCACCTACATGTGCGCGATGCCTGCGTGGCCCCCGATAGCGTGCGACGGCGGCCAAGTATCACATACAGGGTGCCTCGGTGTATCGAACGTCGGCCTCGCTTAGTAGAAGCATAAAGTTATTCTGGGGGGCGGACGCGGTGTCTCTCTCGTCTCGGTTTTCGTTCACGGGATAAAAAACGTTCGATCCGCCTCGACTTCCGCCCCTTCCTCTCCGCCGCAAGTCGCTATTAAATAGACAGGTAATTAATGAGGCACGCGAGCAGCTGCAGCGGCTCCGCTCCAGATGCAACCGTTCGAGATCCTCCGTAATGTTTCACGTTTTTATTCACACGATCTATATTTTCGCGTTCTCGCTATCGCGTTTACTCGCTTATCACCTTGCGATATTAGCAATCCCGCGAGACGTCACTCGCTCGCCGGGTCCTTGACCAGTTACGCGTTAAATGACAGTTTTCGTTGGCGAAGGAGTTAGCGCTACGCCACCATAGATTCTGGACATTGATCCAATCTTGGGTTTGCTATATAGCGAAATCTTATTTAATTTCACTGCGGACATCTCACTCTCTCCTTTTCTCCCCCTTTATCTCTCTGTCTAGTACGCAAAAAGCTTGGAACTATTGCCATTCCTCTTGTTCATAGATTCCTCGGCTGACTGAATTTTGACATTTCGATATTATACACACTCTATTAAACTTAATTTTTTTAATTTTTATCTAATCTAGAAGTAAATGAAATAAAATTAATTTCATGGAACAAAATTGATATTGTAATTATTATTAAATAATTATATAATATGTGATTATTGAACAATAATAAGATTTTTGTTATTTTTGTTAAGAAAATGATGTTAAATTATAATAGGGTAATGATCATTCTGTGACAATTCTATACACACTCATATAATATAATATTAGAGATCTTGTATCCTGGAAGATTTCAATTATACTTTTCTTGTTATATGTATTACCATAGACAAGATGACCGATTCAAAGTATTTTACTACTACAAAGAAAGGAGAAATATTTGAACTCAAGTCGGAACTGAACAATGAAAAGAAAGAAAAGAAGAAGGAAGCTGTAAAGAAGGTAAATAATATGATTACTACATGTCAATTTAACATTTTATGAGAAACAATTTTGACATCGTTGATACACTTTAATATTACAAGTACTATGTTTCTATTCTTATTTTTTAAATTAATATCTTTCATATTTGATATCAGAAAAAACATTAAAGAAAAATTGAAATGGTCAAAAATGATCACTTCTATTATTTTTAGTTTTAATATTATGCAAACATCACACAAAGAATAAATATTTTTATGCAAAAACTTGCGCATAGGCTGTGAAGATAATGTGTTTAAATATTAAGGTAAGTTATAAAAAATCTGAGAATCTGAGTGTCTTAAATTTTAATGACTTCTTTTTACAAAAAATATTTCTTATGTAACACTCTTCCTATAGTCATTTTTATAATTATGTTTAATAATCTCTTCTAGAATAATATACTTCTTGAGTTTATCAACATTAAGAATATGTTACGTACATCTTTGTATATGGAGAGAAACATATATTTATTGTATTTGAATAAAAAGACTTGGGAAAGCAATGCATTAGCATGTAGTCTGATGAGATACTTATGATTGTGTCTTAATATTATTGTGCTTATGTTAGTGAAAAGTGTACAATGTATTTTTAATAAAAACTACATGTGAATAAATAATGTACAATGTAGTAATGTAGCAGTTCTGCAGATGTCAAATGCCTCTTAGGACATAAGAATGAGATTTTATTAATAATAAAAATGATAGAGAAATCTACCTGAAAATGTTACATTTGAATTGTTGCCTACATTTCAATAACATCGTGCGAGTTTAGTAATGAAGATGTATTGTTAATTATTTGTCCAGGTCATTGCTTCCATGACAGTGGGAAAAGATGTGTCCGCGCTGTTTCCTGATGTGGTGAATTGCATGCAGACCGATAATCTGGAACTGAAAAAACTGGTGTACCTATACCTGATGAACTATGCTAAAAGCCAACCAGACATGGCCATCATGGCGGTCAACACGTTCGTCAAGGTAACGTAGCTTAGAAACTCACCATTCAATTCATCATCACGATTTTACTATATATAACGCACCTTTATCCTCTACATATTTTTTAATGACACTTGGATGATGTTCAGAATCTGTCTGTAACGAGAGGCAAGCTAAAGAATTTTTTCCGTTATATATTTCTCTGATGACGATTCATCAGATTGTAAATATAATCTCCTTATCAGATATCATCCTTGCTGCGCTCATTTTACGATGTGCCTCGCACTGTGTACAGACTGCTTTGCAAATTACAGTTTGCACAGAGCTGTCTGCGTTATGGGACGGAATGTAACTTTTTTTCGTTCATTATAATCGAATTGTTTATTTTTCAAAGGGCACGGGTTTATATTTTTAGTTTCCTCGATACGACACTTTGATAATAAGTTGAATTACTTTCTGAACAATGGGTAATATGAAAAACAAAGACATTTTTCTTTTCATTTTGTCTCGTCGCAGAGCTAAATTCCAGAGTGTATTCTGTTAGGCATATCGTTATATTAATCTATATCTGTAATACAAGATTAGTGTTACTGAACTTGATGAAGTAATTTAAGATCTCGTATTATATATTGCTAATCATGCTAATGCACTAATAAATACATCTTGTTTTCTGAACAAGAATTGAGCATGTAGTTTTCCTTCGAGAAATCATGTAATTTTCAATTTATATTCGAAACGCTTGAAGTAAATTGTACATTTTTTCGCAGCGCTATTTGTTTATAATACAGATATATTAAATCAATTGTTATATTGCAGTTATGTTTTCGAATCAAGGAATGACAGATACAAACATTAATCTTTTACTTATAAATTTCTAATGTGCAGCAGCATGAAAATTGTAATTCCTTAAATGTTTTATTTCATATGTATGATTGCATTATCAATTGATGCTTGTACAAAAATAATATTTATTAATTGCACGCAATTTGTATTATACTCAAAATTTCAGTGTACCTAATGAATGTAATTCGTGTTACAAATAACATCTTATTAATACAATTAATTTTATATATTTGTAAATATATTTTTCTATATATATGTTAGACGATTTTAAGTTATTTCTATTTGCATGGCGCTAATGTTGGTGTAACACAATTCTTAATTTCTTATTCGCAAAGTTATGCCAACAATTGTGAAAAAGAAAAAAGAGAGAGAACAAACAAAGAATGATACCTCGTGCTCTTTAAAAAATAATCAGTTCTTAATTACACACTACTTTAAATGGCTGATAAGTATAGTTATTTAACACTTAATGAGAAATGGTAACGGTGACCAATTTGACCTTTTTCGTTCTGACACGCAAAAGGAGCTAGCGACATCTCCGATGACAAAGGTACCAATGCCACTTTCTACTTTGTTAAAGTTCATGGGTTGAGATAGATAGCCACTACTGTGACTAGACTTGAATCCCTGGCTTGCCCGATTTTTGCGCAGGATTGCGAGGATCCAAATCCGCTGATTCGCGCGCTAGCAGTTCGCACGATGGGCTGTATACGCGTCGACAAGATAACTGAGTATCTATGCGAGCCGCTGCGCAAGTGCCTGAAGGACGAGGATCCGTATGTGCGCAAGACGGCAGCCGTATGCGTCGCCAAACTTTATGACATTAACGCGGCCTTAGTTGAGGATCAAGGATTCCTGGATCAGTTGAAGGATCTTCTGTCCGACAGCAATCCAATGGTATGTGAACTTTCCTTTCCTCAGAACTTGAGAACAAAAATGAAGTGTTAATTTTAAAGCCTTATATCTGATAAAATATTAGAAAAAATGGTAATAAAATGAAGAAATATTTATTGATTAGAAAAATAAAAGTCATATAATTTATTGTTATTTGAAGATAATAATACCGTGGATAATATATATCAAATATTATTAGGTTGTCGCAAATGCAGTTGCTGCGTTGTCTGAAATCAACGAAGCTAGTCCAAGCGGTCAACCATTGGTGGAAATGAACGCGCAAACTATAAACAAATTATTGACGGCGCTCAACGAATGTACGGAATGGGGCCAAGTTTTCATCCTGGATTCACTGGCGAATTATTCACCCAAAGATGATCGCGAGGCGCAGAGTATCTGTGAACGAATCACTCCTCGTCTGGCGCACGCCAATGCTGCGGTCGTGCTTTCTGCTGTTAAAGTATGCAGATTAATAATGACAGGAAAATGTAGGAGAAGAATTTGATAAGCTTCATTTTATATCATTTCTTGAAATTTTAAGAAATAAAGAGAATAAGCTTATCAATTTTCTTTCTTGAAACATTTAAATTTATTTTCAAGTTCTTGCTAGCGGAGAAATAATTTTACATTGATTTTGTTTATATTTTAGGTATTAATGAAATTGATGGAGATGTTGCAGTCTGAATCGGATTTTGTCGGCACACTTACGAAAAAATTAGCGCCTCCTCTCGTTACATTATTAAGCTCTGAGCCGGAAGTTCAGTATGTTGCACTGAGAAACATCAATCTTATCGTGCAGAAGCGACCAGACATTCTGAAACACGAGATGAAAGTATTCTTCGTCAAGTATAACGATCCTATTTACGTAAAATTGGAAAAGCTGGACATTATGATTCGTTTAGCGTCACAAGCTAATATCGCACAAGTTCTATCGGAACTGAAGGAATACGCCACTGAAGTTGATGTGGATTTTGTGAGGAAAGCCGTGAGAGCCATCGGTCGTTGCGCCATAAAAGTCGAGCCATCCGCGGAACGTTGTGTTTCTACATTACTGGATCTGATACAAACGAAGGTAATTAAAAATAAAAGACATTAGATGTTTTTTATTTTGAAAAGATTATTGAGATGTAATCCTGATGAATAAAATTTTGTATATTAGTTGATCGTGCATAGTATTTTTATTTTTTAGGTGAACTACGTCGTTCAAGAAGCAATTGTGGTTATAAAAGACATCTTCCGCAAGTATCCTAATAAATACGAAAGCATAATCTCGACTTTGTGCGAGAATTTGGACACACTCGATGAGCCTGAGGCCCGTGCTTCTATGATCTGGATTATCGGAGAATACGCAGAGCGCATTGACAATGCGGATGAGCTGTTGGAGAGCTTCCTGGAGGGATTCCATGATGAAAACACACAAGTTCAGCTACAGTTGCTTACCGCGATTGTTAAACTGTTCCTCAAGAGGCCCACAGACACACAGGAGTTGGTTCAGCAGGTGCTCAGCCTGGCCACACAGGATTCCGACAATCCCGATCTACGAGATCGTGGTTTCATCTACTGGCGATTACTCAGTACCGATCCGGCAGCAGCTAAGGAGGTAGTGCTCGCGGAAAAACCACTGATTTCAGAAGAGACGGATCTGTTGGAACCGACATTGTTGGACGAATTAATTTGTCATATCTCGAGCTTAGCGTCTGTATATCACAAACCCCCCACGGCATTCGTAGAAGGAAGAGCGGCGGGCGCTAGGAAATCGCTGCCTGCTAGAAGTAATTCGAATGAAGATTCTAATCGTACAACTGCACAACCGCATGCGCAAGTTATACCTGCTCAGGATTCCCTGATTGGCGACCTACTCAGCATGGATATTGGTGAGCGAATTTTAAAGTAAAATTATAATTAGAAAATTAAAATATATAATAAAATATTTGAATATATAAATATTCTTGTTTTTAAAAATTGCAAATGTGTTTGTTTTTCTTATTTTTCACGCGTAGATGAAAAATATATAATTATCCTACTTATTCCAGGTGGCCCAACAATGGTCACACCAGCACCTGCACCACAATCCACAGGATTAGGATTGGATCTTCTAGGTGGCGGTCTCGACGGCATTCTGAGCAATGACACCACAGCTGCACCACCAGTAGTTTCCCAAAGCACAACGGGTCTACTGGGTGACATATTTGGCTTTAGTCAAGGTCCCACAGCTTATATACCTCCCAAAGTCAACTGGCTACCAGCCGAAAAGGGCAAGGGCTTTGATATCTGGGGCACATTCTCGAGAAAGTAATTAAAAATGATATATATCATATATATTACTGAATATAGAGAACATTCGATATACATCCTTTCAATCATAAATTATTATATTGTGCAAATTGCGTCGTAGAAATGGACAAATCAGTATGGACATGACTTTTACGAACAAGGCAATGCAACCTATGGGAGGTTTCGCGATACAACTCAACAAAAATAGCTTCGGATTGACACCGGCGGCTCCATTGCAAGTGCCCGCTCCTCTGAGTCCCGGATCGAGTATAGAAACGAGCGTCATTTTATCTACTGCGGGTGCAGTACAACGCATGGAGCCCCTGAACAATCTTCAAGTTGCTATCAAAAACAACATTGACGTTTTTTATTTTGCGTGTATCGTGCCCATGAATGTATACTTTGCAGAGGATGGACAATTGGATAAGAGAGTGTTTCTTTCTACTTGGAAAGATATACCTGCACAGAATGAGGTAACACACTCTTTTCTCATACTTTTCTTCTATTTATTGACGTAGAATAAGATTCAGATGATAGAGAATGAATAAATATCTTTAAAAGACACATCTCGTTCGTAGGTACAATATACGTTAAACGGAGTGATGTTGACTGCGGATCAAGTTGTGCAAAAAATGCAACAAAATAATGTTTTCACGATTGCTAAAAGAAATGTAGAAGGACAGGATATGCTTTATCAGTCTCTCAAATTGACAAATAATGTCTGGGTGTTGAACGAGTTGAAAATTCAGCCAGGCAATCCCGATGTTACGGTAGGTTTAATACGGACTACTACATTTTAATTTTTCCAACGTAGTTATCTCTAAAATCAATAGCTATTTAAATAGACTTGACTAATTTAAATAATTTTTTATTTTAACCTTAAATAATTAAAAAAATTTGTTTCAAGTTAGGATACATTTTTTTTAACGCTTAATCATGATCATAATTACGTATGGACGTATTTAATATTCTAATATCTTCATCTAATATATATTTTACATTTCATTTTTTTTTTATGTTTGTCACAATTATTTTCTCTTCTCATTGCAGTTGTCCCTGAAATCCCGATCCGTAGAAGTCGCCCCTGGAGTATTTCAAGCGTACAATGCGATTTTACATTCTTAAGTTTTCCCGTTTTTTTCGTCAATTAGAATATTGCTATAAGATGCGAATTATAAAAGACAATGCGAGCATGCGGCTTATTTATAGAGAAATTATCTGTGTACATCCATACATATGAAACTCAAGAGTATCTTGAATACAGTACTATAGGAATCTCTGTTACAAATTGCCGAAGTTATTATAAAAACAATCACGGGCGTGTATGGAAATAAAAATTTATGATCACGTCTATATCCTCATTTGTATATATCTATCTTCTGTATGCAAAATAGAATTCATATATTTCGTATATGAAAACTATAATATAAAAATTAATAATTTTTTAAATTTATGATCATATTCGAGACTTAACAAAATATAAAAATCTCAAGTATTTTACGAAATTAATACTAAAAATACCAAATTTTTTTATTGTTCTAAATGTTTTTATCAAAGATAGGATTTTTAAATTTCTTTAGTGTTCAAAGTAAAATAATTGATGAAAATTAGAAAATTCAAAAATTTTATCTCTTTAATATGATAAATATGATTAATTTTTTAGAAAAAGTAGTCAAGAATGATCACTTTTTTAAAACTTCTGGTGTTAAATTTCAAATACATTTCCATTCATATTTTAAAATAATTCACTTCAGTTATAAAATATTTATTTTTAAATGTAATACAACTGAACATACATTTTAAAAAATACAACTTAAAAAAAAGACATGCAAGAGATTGAATTCTCCTCTTTTTGCAGTTGGTAGGTTATTTCACAGTGAAATAATGCTGATACATGTGATTGGTTTTATTTATCGAATATAAAGAGAAGTCAATCAAATACATATTGCATAAAATTAACACTGGACCTTTCTTCTAAAAGAACATCCCTCAGTTAATCTGGCTTTTCCACCTGTCGGTGTGCAGAGTATCGTACGACATCCATCACATTCTACTGGCCTCTGGGCATGTGAAAAGATAGTTTTAATAGCATAGCAGCCCGGGCATTTGACGTCCATAAAATAACTGTTGGGCTTTTGTACAAGCCTCTTCAGTTTGTGTTTCCTCTTCTCCTCGATGGGGCTCGGATGGAGAAAATCTCTAGCCAACGGCATTCTGTAAAACAAATTCAGTTAAGGACTCATGTTCAAGTCAAACTCGTAAATTTATTTATCAAATTATATATTCTTTCACGCATATTCGTGCAATTCGGTTGAATTGAAATGAGGGATAAATGTATACACAACATTGTGCAACCTTACTGAGATTGTGGGATTGTGATTGCATGAAAAATGAAAATCTAATTTGGGAAATACAAACACGAAATTCGAACGAAGAGAACTGGATGTCTTATCGGATATTTTACTGGCAGAAATATATAACGTTCAAAAATGTTAATTGCCTCACAATAACAATAATTTGCCTCGTATGTAATGGGCGATCTGCGGCTAGAAGCGCAATAACATGCCGCTTACGATATGCATGCGATATGCTAGTTCCCGGAAAAATTATGTTTGTCGTATCGCAAAAGGACAACATTCGCGTGACAGCGAACGAAACGATGCGATTACTTACGTGATACGCAGAGTATTTCGTCTCGAATTTGGTAATTACAATCGTAACCACGTGTTTACAGGACAACGTTACACTTCGGAAAGGAACCTTATCCGCCTCGACGCGAAACATATAAAACCCTAGTGGCTCGACAATGTTACCAATAGCTCTTTTCGAGAAGTTCTTACCCATTGAACACAATAAGATGCATTTTTATGTGGACGCTCAATTCTCTTTTTTAGCGTAAAAATAGATCACATGATCAAAAGTGACCATTCAAATTTTAGTATTATGCATAAATTTTTGTTACGTGACCTTTGATACTAAAAATGATTACACAATTTCCATAAAAAAAAGAGGGTAATAATGTTGGTAGTAACAAAAATCCTTAGACAACACAATTTAATTTCTGTGGATTGGTGATACTGTAAGTAGTAATCTGTTAGTTGCGGAAGCTTTTTTGACATGTGTGTATATGCATATGTTATATGACGTGCATAATAAAATAATAATAAAGTATTTTCTAAAATATTTTCTATAACAAAGTATTTTAAAAAATAAAGTATTTTCGAAAAAAAGAATCGGTCCAACACATCTATAGTCATAGTGTGTATATAGATAAATTATTTTTCACTTTATAAGAATATTAGTTACTTATCTGATATTTATCCCTTCTCCATTTGCTTCTCCTTATTTTTCTTTTTCATCCTTATTTTTCTTTTACAATATATTTTATATTTACGATTTATATTTTCTAACCTATATACACATTATGACTATAGATGTGTTGGATCGATTCTTTTTTTCGAAAATACTTTATTTTAGAAAATACTTTATTATTATTTTATATATGACGTTCATATGACATATGCATATACGCATATGTCAAAAAGGCTTCCGCACTAATAGATTACTACTTACACAGTATCACCAATCCACAGAAATTAAATTGTGTTGTCTAAGGATTTTTGTTATTACCAACATTATCCCCTCTTTTTTTATGGAAATTGTGTAATTCTAAAAATAAATGTCATGAATTGGTATCTTCCGTGTAAATGAGACCTGCAAACATCATCAATTAAATACAAAATTTTCTGATTGGTGTTTCACATAGTGTAATGGTGTTTCATTTAAAAATCCTAAGCACTGGTCAATGTGAATGGAATGAATTAAATATTCTAACCTGAAAAGTCAATTTTAACGATTAATATCTTGCTTCGCGGAACAGAGCTGTGTTTTTTTCTGCCAAATTTCGTTTCGTGTCAAGTAATCATAATTTCATCAAAATTATAACTGCTGAGAGTAAACAGAATAATTACTCGACATTTAGCTACATTTTTTTTAAATATTAAAATCAAAAAAGTATTGTCGAAATGTCGGAGAAGAAGAGAGTACTCATGGTTTGTTTAGGTAAAGATATTAATATAAAAAAAAATATAGTAATGTATGTTATTAATTAGTAGTTACTCATGTACAGGTAATATTTGTCGTTCGCCGATAGCGGAGGCAGTGTTTCGAAATGAGATGAACAAAAGAGGTTTGCAACACCAATGGGAAGTAGATAGCGCTGCCCTTATAGGATATCATACAGGTAAAATACCAGATAACAGGGCATTAAGTACGCTAAAAGAAAATGGAATCACTAATTATTCCCACAGAGCACGCCAAGTAAGATTTCTTAAAGTTCTAAAGAAATTAAGCTTTTACTAAATGTCGAAATTCTTCATATTAACATTTATAGAAATCTGTCTTGATTCTTCCACATATGAGGCAATTTTATAATCAAAGTCTTCTAAAAGATGGAAATAATATTAATCTCACTATAATCTAATAAATAAATTAATGTTTATTATTGATATTAATATTACTATAAATTACTTTTACTTGTTATAGATTGAACAAACAGATTTTGATAAATATGATTGGATATTTGGTATGGATCATGAGAACATAAAAAATTTAAAACAACTGAAACCAAAAAACAGTCAAGCAAAAGTGGAACTTCTTGGGAGCTATAATTCAAGTGGAGATCCTATAATACGAGATCCATATTATGTATGTTGGTTTTCATTATTGGTAAAATCAGAATATGTAATAGAGATGTACATTAATTTATTTCCATCTTACAGGATTACAATAGTGTTGGATTTCAGAGAGTCTATGAGCAATGTTTGGCGAGTGTGACAGCATTCTTGAATAAATATTCAAGTTGATGTAAAGATTAAAATATGTACATGATATTTATATATACTTATATTTTTAGGAAAAACATTTTAATTTTCCAACCTGTGAAAAATTTTATAGTATCAATTTTCCATATAAAATAGTGTATGTAATAAATATTTCTATTATGTCTTTTTTTTAATATACACTAGTAGAAAGAAATAAATATTTAGGATAACATATTTTAAGCATTAAGATAATTATAGAATATACATAAGAAATGTACAATAAAAAAATATAGATTATTAAAATGTATAAATCATATATAATTATATTATGGTAATATCTTCTCTTTTTTCCAAGATTCCTTTTTTATTGTGCCTTTAATCTATTCCTTTAAGTTATATAACACAGAGTTTCTTGTCCTTATATGTGTTTTAAAAAATAAAATTTTGATTTATTTTAAATTAAACTTATAATTATTATTTATTTATATGTTGTATTATCTTATTTATCTTTTTTAGAAATTTGTATATAGCGTCCCAGTTTTGATTTTTTATCGTGAAAATAGACTATTCTTATTGATCTTTTCTACTCCTAAGCTCTTCATATAACCTTTTTCTGTCTTCGAATAAGAAAATCCGTACAAGCAATTTTTAAATTGCAGAAATATTTGCAAAGAAAATTTCTTTGAAAGCTGCAGTTACATACACACTGTTAGGTGTCAGTGCGATATCTTTGAGAAATCCCAGAGATATTACAGAATTTTTAATTTTTTGTAACTTTATTATTTTTTTTCCTTTCCTGATTGCAAAAAATTAATATGATGCGAAAGAGAAGAGTCCTCATGGTTTGTTTAGGTATTTTAATTTATTATTAAAGTATATTAAGTATTATTAAGAACTTACCGAATTACCGCACTTTCAATAAAAAAAATGAAATGTTATTATTACGATAGCTTTTTTTTCTTTTAAAAAGAATTAAGATAAAGTAGAAAACGTTCTTGTGGTATATGAAATAATTTCTTTTAGTGAAAAGCTTTAAATTATTTGTAAGGTTATAATTTCTCTATTTTTAAGCGTTATGTAATTAAACATATATATAAATATCATTGAACTAGAATACTCTAAAAATTTCAATTACGTTCGTATTTTCTTACGATATTATGAGAAATCATATAGCTTTAGTTTATTTTTATTATTAAATATTTTGACAAATAAATTATTAAAATTATTAAATTATATTTTCAGTATTTTAATTTAAATTAGAATCTTAAAACTACTTTTTTACAGGAAATAGTTGTCGCTCTCCTATGGCAGAAGCAGTATTTCAGGATCAAGTGCACAAAATGGGTTTATCCGATTTCTGGGAGGTTGAAAGCGCTGGTATTTTGGCATATCATGTAGGCAATGCTCCTGAACCTAGAGCAATGGCCACTCTTCAGAAGGTCGGGATTACGAATTACTTTCATATCGCGAGACAAGTAAGAGTTACAATTTTTTAATTCTTTATATTTTTTTCAAAATTTTTACATAGACTTATCAGTAACAATTTTAGATCACAAAGAATGATTTTTATGAATTTGATTGGATATTTGGAATGGACGAGAATAATATTCACAGATTGTACAGAATGCGACCGGGAGATAGTCAAGCGAAGATAGAATTACTCGGGAAATACGATCCAACTGGAATAGTTGTTATAAGAGATCCTCTCTTTGTAAGCACTGTACGAGATAAAATAGAAATCCATCTAATAAAAACGATTATATAGTTTTCTAATGTAAAATTGATTAGTATAATCAATGAATATCAATTAGTATAATTAATTTTTTTACATATATCTTTCCACTTCTTTCAGGATGCTGATAGTGTCGGATTTGAAAAAGCATGTGAACAAGCTCTGAGAAGTGTGCGCACATTTTTGGAAATTAATAAGGTATTTCTCATCTTTTTAATATTATTTATTTACGTACTATTAGTAATTATTACTAATATAATTTTAAACTTGTCGAATTTGAATTCAATTTTAATGTTTTCAATTCTGTAAACTTTAGTGATTTACTTAAAAATTTTTCTGTGTATTTTATTCCAAACTTTTACTCAACATAACTCAAATATGTTTTATTTATACAGGATAACGTACCCGAAAAATAATAAAAATACAATTTTTATTTTGGAAACATTGAAGCAGAATAAATCTTAGGAATTTACGATTTATTTCATTTATCCGGCGATTTGTCTATCGCAAAATATTATTTATAAACTTATTTATGAAAATAAAAATTATGAATTCAGTTATGAAAAGAATGAAGAATTTATAATATATGTAATATTTTAAACTTTTAAATTTTATTTTTTAATTTTTTTATACATCCATTAACATTGTAAAATTTCTTCTCTTTATTGAGAAATAAAATATTGAGAATAATGGTTTGCAGTTTTTTGCAATTTTTTTATGATGAATTTATTATGAAAAATCATCAATAAAAGAATCTTTTCTGAAATTTAATTTTGTCGGATGATTACTTGTATATACAATCGAGAGTAGTACTTTCTCCAAATCGCAGGTAAAAACCGGTGAAAAACAGGTGAAGTAAATAAACAAGCGATTGTTTCGTTAAAAGATATTTAACTATTTTCTAATAAAATACGAGGTCGATATTTTATTGATTAAAATTTGATTCTTCAAAAAAACAATATTTGTGATTTCTCTCGATCTTTTAGTTCGTAATTTTATATGCAAATTACAACAAATAAAAGTATGTTTTGGATCTTTTAACAAAAAATCTGATTTGAGATTCAATCATGAAAATATTTACTGATCAATCAAGAATGAATACGATCTCTAAGAAATCGACTTAATTTCATATAAAGATTTGATGAAGCAACTAAATTGAAAAGAAATCCTTAACCTCTATTGCTTTTTACATAATTAATCAGCATATTAATGTAAATTATGCATGAATGTAGTGGCTCATGCTATGCTTCGAGATAAATTGTTAAATACTTTATTTATAAATTTTGATCTGCCCCGTTAACATAATTTGCTCCCTCGAATAGAGAAATTTAATTAACATCACTACATCATCGGTGAATGTCAGTTTGAATGTAAATACCTTCCCTCTGACGTTACAACTTCTTAAGATGCGGATGAAATTCTGAAAATATGTACTTTTTTATTAAACATAAAATCTGTAGCGTATTTTCTTATTAAACACAAAAAATCGCAAAGCTTGCAAACTTTACATTAATGCCAATTCCGCTAAATTTCTATATTCTCATTGGCATTTAATTAGTAATATTTTAGAAAGGAATATATTTTATATTTTACCTGTTTTGAAAAACGAAATGAGTTCGAGTTTAAAAATCTAAGAAATCTAAACAAACAGCTTAAAAATTTTTACAAACATGAAAAATGGCTCTAGATAAAGTTAATAAATTATCCACATTTCATTCCGTAAATGGAAATAAATAAATGAACAAAATTTTATATAAAGAATATATTTTCTTCAAAATAAAATGCAATAGAGAAATATTTATGTTAATGACTAATTTGATTAAACTTCTGTGATCTTGTTGATGAATATTAAACCAGTAGAAGTACGTATCGCTTTTCTAATTTCGAAATGAAATATTTCGTCATGTTAAAGCTTGAAAAATTAAAATCTTAAAAAGTTTTCCTGTAGGATAGGAAATGGTCCAGAAATTATCAAATTAGTATCTTCATTAGTAAATATTATCAGTTTAAACAGAAATTCTGCGTAAAGAAATATCAAGCGCGAATTTAATGGTTGTTATCTAATTCGAAGGAAAGTTGGTGAAATTGACCGTAATTCCCGTAAAATCCGATCGCGCTTGACTGTTCGGAAAGATCGATTGCAGGTTGCATGTAATTGCATATATTAAATTAGAATTAGACAGGGTTGGACTGCGAGCGATAAATAGTAATCTCGAATCGATATGTTCATATGAAAAGGTGTCATGATATTGAAATATGCAATATAGCGGGATGTTTTGCATATGTATGCTTCAAAACTTTGACTAAGCTTCAAACGAATAAAAAATATGGCATCAGATACACACCGAGTAGAAACAAGTATAAAAAGTAATTATGCCCTTTATCGATGTCAATCTTAATTATCTTAATTTAATTATCTTAATTTTGGTTTAATATACCTTTTATTTTTTCTGACTCTTAGAAATAAAAATAATGTCAAATGTGTCAAACTAAAATTGAATCTACATTGATAGAAATGGATATTATGAGATCTATATCACTTCGTGGATTATAAAAAGAAAGTCAATTCTTAAAACATTTAAAAAATATATAAAATATATAATGACAAATAATAACTAAAAATATATATATAGAAATATTTTGAGACATTTTATCAATTAAGATAGTTCAAGAACGTCTTAAATTAAAAAAAAATGTTTTATGTAATTAATTAAATAAAATATTTAAAAAATACAATTCACCTACATTTAAAAAAATAAATTCTAAAAAAATTTTTCAGACATTTTAAAATAATTGCAATGAAGACAAAATGTCAATTTTGATTTAATCAAAATTCTATAAAATGAAATTAGCCGAGAATCAATCGAAGATCGCAGATCGAGTATTTTTGTTGTTATGAGAAAAATTCCACGTGGTATTCATCATGCATCGTTGTTCACCGTGAAGTTAGCCGTGCAGCGTCAAAGGCGCATCGTTGGAGGATTCCTTCCCCCACCGCGCCTCCTCTCCTTGACCACGTTTTTTTATCGTGAGATCCATAGTAGAGCCATCAAAATTGCGTCACGTGAGTTACGTGTGAGGCACGTTTTTCCTTCATTCGTCTTATAGCCCTTTTGTATCCTCTTGATATAGTCGTGAGTCGTGCGAATAAATCACGAACTGCAATTCATCCTGAAATTGTCGGCGTTCTGAAATTCGGAACGTGGTTACGTCATGCTTCACGCACGTGGGATCTCGGTTGCACCTTGCGCGCACTTCACGGGTACTTTAGTCTCACCTGATCGGCCGAACTTTTGGACCTTTCTCCTCCTTTTTTTCCAATGTGATGCAGGGTAGATCTCGTCGAAAATTCCATCTCTTCTTTTTTTTCTTTCTCTTTCCCGCACTCCCACACACGCACATTAATCATGGCTGTATATATACGTTCAGTTGGGTCGAGTGCGCGAGGTGTAGTAATCAGCGGACTGGTTTCGCGAGTCGAGCCCACAGTCGATCCTCTCTCAAATTGTCGCGGCGGCGGGGTCACGTGGTGGGATATCGTTCGCACGACGCGATTCGCTCTAGAAGCTATAAAGTAATCCGCCGGTGAGCGGAACGCACGGAATCGGGCCCCGCGTGCGATGCTGGTAGCAGCGATGGCTGACGAAATATCGAGGGATACGTTGTTGGATCGCGTGAAGAAACAGGGCGAGGTAGTGCGACGGTTGAAAGCCGCGAAGGCCAACAACACGCAGGTACGCGGCTTTTTCTCTCTGCTCGTCTTGGGTCCCTTCTTTTTTCATCTCCGGGAAAACGAATTTCGACGGACGGTTTTCGTGACAGATGTACTTCCTTTCTCCTCTCTGTCCTCGACGGGGGCTCGGCATAATTACACCCTTCCACAATGTCCCTTTCACTTCCTTCCGCGAAATAAGTGACGAAGCACTCGCAGATGCTTAAGAGCGACTTTCGATTTTTTTTTGCCTTTGACATTTCGCACCTTGTACCTTCGCTTCTTAATTCAGACATGGTCAGGTCTGTTGGCTTTAGCTGCGCTTTCCATTCTCGATTTTCTCTCGGAGCTTGTTTATCTAAGGTGTAACTGATTTCGTTTCTAACAAAAAAATGCAATTGGAGCGAACAGATCTAACCATTCGTAACAATGGGTATGATGCAATAAACTCCTCGCAATATGAAAGCAAAGAGTAGATTTCTCTTTTCTTATTACCAATGTCTTTCAATATGAAAGCAAAAAGTAGATTTCTCTTTTCTTGTTATCAATGTCTTTCCTTAGAGAGACACATCTCATTTCTCAGGAATACAGAGAGCAGTCTGATATAAATATTGAATTAAAAAGCTTAAATGATGATTTTGCGGATGTCAGCTATGTCTGTGGTTGGTACCCAACGTCTAAAGACACTGAACTATATGATACATTATGTGTCGTCCTTAACGATGAGCTTGTAAGGTGGCCACATCTGAACAGGTGGCATAATAACATGAAAAGCTTTGCTCAGGAAGAACGTCTAATGTTTCCTACTGCAGAAGTACCACTCACTTCTCTAGCAGAAACGATTGAACGACTAAAGAATACTTGCTATATTAGCAAAAATATGCTAGACGAAAAGGTGAGGCAGCCAGTTGCTTGCAAGCAGAGCTGCCATGAATTATTGTAAAATTACCATGGTGTAAAGATTTGTTCTAAAATGCAAAGGCTTCTGCATGACAACTAACTTTCATAAAAGATTTCTTTTCCAAATTCTGTGAATTCAAAAATAAAGAAAAGAAAAAAAAACAGCATTAATTGTAGACTCTGGCAATAATTAATGGCAGCCTCTTCCTAGCTTGCTTACTGATATTATCTCTGCTGTTTGGACTAGTTTGATAAATCAACATTGAGGGGGCTTTTCTCTTTTATTCTGGCCTTATAATTTCTTCATCCACTCACGATGTTACGTCTGATATGCAACAATTCTGTTCCCATCGTATGGAAATACACTCGCAACGTGATGTCTACGACGCCACAGGTGGGTACGACGTTCTCGACTATCGTACCCTGGATAACTGTGAACGAGAGTGATATCACGTTTCGTATATTAATGATATATTTGTTTGCCTGTTTGTAGATAGAGCAGGAAGTCGCCAAGTTGTTGGAACTAAAAGCACAATTGGGAGAGGAGAATGGTTGCCCTCACAAACTCATCCTCAAAACGCCAAAAGGCACGAGGGATTATAATCCGGAGCAAATGGCGCTGCGATTGGGAGTACTGGAGAAGATAATATCAGTATTCAAACGTCATGGCGCTGAAACAATAGATACGCCTGTATTTGAGCTAAAAGTAAGGATTATTAAAGATATTAATTACTTTCATTGGCATTAACTGATCATGTTTGTTACACAGGATGTTTTAACTGGTAAATACGGTGAAGACTCCAAGCTCATCTATGATCTGAAGGATCAAGGTGGCGAGATCCTTGCACTTAGATATGATTTGACAGTTCCTTTTGCAAGGTATCTAGCCATGAGCAAGATCTCTTCTATTAAGAGATATCACATTGCTAAGGTCTACCGGAGAGATAATCCAGCCACAACGAAAGGCAGATACAGGGAATTTTATCAGTGTGTAAGTACAATATGTTTAATACTACATACGAGAATATTTCATTTCATTGGCATTAATATTGACATTAACACTTCTGGCCATAACACTTGACTTAAACATTAACATTCATATTTTTTTAAGGATTTTGATATTGCCGGCCAGTACGACTCGATGTTACCAGATGTAGAGTGCATTCGGGTCGTGTGCGAAGCGTTGGAAGTTTTGAATCTGGGACCATACTTAATTAAAGTGAATCATAGGTCTCTCCTAGATGGTATATTTGCTGCATGCGGTGTGCCGCATAATCAATTTCGCGCAATCTGCTCCGCCGTGGATAAGCTGGACAAGAGCCCTTGGGAGGAAGTGAAAACAGAAATGACGGAGGAGAAAGGATTAGACGAACACATCGCCGATAAGGTCGGCAAATATGTCTCGCAATCCGGCGGGGTGGAACTAATAGCAGAATTGAGAAAAGACAAAGAACTGATGAAACAAACCGTTGCCGTGCAAGGTTTAGATTCCATGGAATTGTTGTTAAAGTACTGTGGTATCTACAAAATTCTGGATAAAATCAAATTTGACTTGAGTCTCGCAAGGGGGCTTGACTATTACACGGGTGTTATTTACGAAGCTATATTGTGCGGTATGCATATCAATTTTTCTTTCTTAAATTTTCTTACATCATGGAACGGAACGTGTTACGAAATAATATCATATATATATATATATATATATCCGGCATAATATCAATAGTTTCATTAATTTTTCACAGGAGACGATGTTGGTGTTGGTAGCATAGCAGGCGGTGGCCGTTACGATAATTTAGTGGGAATGTTTGACAGCAAGAATAAAAATGTACCTTGCGTTGGTGTGTCGTTGGGTGTGGAACGAATATTCAGCGTTATGGAGGCAAAATTGGCAAACAAGGGTCTAAAAACGCGTACTGCTGAAATTGAGGTATTCGTGGCGAGCGCACAGAAAAATCTGCACGAGGAGAGAATGAAGATATTGGTGGATTTGTGGGAAGCTGGCGTGAAAGCGGAACAATCATACAAAAAGAACGCAAAACTTTTGGCGCAATTGCAGCATTGTGAGGAGAATGGCATCCCATTGGCAATAATCATCGGAGAAGGTGAACTGGCAAAGGGTGAAGTTACATTGAGAGTGGTGTCGACGCGACAGGAAACCCGCATATCACGTAGCAATCTCGTCGAGGAAATACGAAAGCAGCTAGAAACATTATCGTAGCACATTCGTAATCTTCTCGTTATTAAAAAGAGAGTTACGTCAATACAAAAAAAATATTTATATTGCATTTAGTTTCATTTCAATCCACGTGCCGGAAAGTTATTTATTAGATTTATTAGATTTTTGTATGAGTTTATTTGTATTATCTCGGCACGATGGATCATTACCGTCGAGTGATAAACTTCTTGTCACCGATAGATGCTAATTGTGAAATCGTACAAATGAATGCATGAGGAAGTGTAACGACGCTTTACTTATGTATAAGCATATAGACAATTTTTCAGGGATATAATCCTTTAACCGAATTTTTCCGGATAAGATCTGGAATTTAACTGGACTTTAATTTAATTAATTAATTCACAGCTACCGCTCCAGACACCAAATACATCTTTATAATTTATTCTGCAAGAACTTGTCAATAAAATGTTATAAATTTCGTAAAACGTTTTTTGTTCCTTCCTTTATTACATTTAATGAAGTTAATTTCAAGATTTAATGAAATAAATATCGATCGTGTAAGTGATTGATAAATGTGCAAATCACAAGATCGCGACAATATTTAAACTGTGATATGAAATATTACTATGCAATTTCGTTAATATAATTTACGTTCTAATATATAACAATAAATGTTCGAATCAATGAACTTTTTTAAATATATTTGTTATCTTTCACTATCTTTCATAATAATTTCTTGTAATTTACTTATTTATCTACTTATATACTATATTTTTTTAATTACTTTCGCTATTCGCTTATTGAGGATATATATGCTTTATTCTACTATATCACAGTCTTCTTTCTTATCAAATTTAAAATCTAATTTGCATAATAATTTACTTATATGTCTAATAATTATCATTACACTAGCATTAGCTATCTTAAAATATTTCATATTTCTCTTGAAAAATATTAAAAACTCGACCAGTTTGGAAAATTATATAGATAATTATATACTTCGATAACAACTTTTTCACAAAAAACTAGTCGACTTACTGCTAAATTATATTTTTCCGAAACTTGCATATCGATAAACGCATTTGTATAAAATTTTCTCTATAATCTTGTTTAATAATAAATTACGTATTGTTTCGAAGCATGAGTATATTAATTGTTACTATGCATACTAAGTAAGAAGTAAGAAATTTCCGAATTAGTATGTATAAGATAAAGATTAATATCGTTTCTTGTACAAGTAATGCAGAATTGCATATTCGGCAAGATTCCTATAACAATTTTACATTTAGTTATCCTTTTTGATAATGAAACTGGATTCATTGTATTATTTTTTACAGAATGTAGAATCAATTTTTCTTGTTAACAAAAATATCAATTATTATATATATCAATTATGTCTATAAATATCAATTATTAGTGTCTCATTTTTGTTAACAAAATTTGATTCCAAATATTTGTCTGTTTTTTAAAATTAAATGGAACACTGTCTATTTTAACTTTTTAATCCGCCACATAATATGATCACAAAACTTTTTCGTTTTTATTTTTCACCTGGGTTTTTCAATTTTAACTTCCTTCAAGTCTGCATCTCCTTTTTGAGCAGCCTTTGTCATGGCTCTATACTGCTCAAATGGATTGATTATCGGTTTTTCTATCGTCATTTGCAGCGGTGGTTTATATGAATCTATTAATACACTGGGCTTCCCTTTTTTCGATTCTAGGGAACTACTACTAGCCGAAGATGCTTCTCGAGGTTCACTTAAATTATCAATTACATACACATGAATATTATCCTGTTTCTTCTCCATTTTAAGCGGAGCTTCTTTGAGATCTACATTTGTTTCCTGCATCCCTTTTTGAAATGTCCTATCGAGTCCATCGTTACATTTTATTAATTTCTGTTCAAACACTGAGGAGGACGGCGATTTGTAAACCGGTTCATAAACTGATAGGGAATCTCTTGGAGGATATCTTTCATCCTTATGCATGCTTAAAATCATAGATTCATTTAACGCTGCGATCGGCTCATTGGATCCGAGAACGAAGGGATTAGTCGATGAAACTGTGTCTTCCTGATGCCTCCACGATGCAGTTCGTTCGTCTCTCGATAAATCTGAAGGAATTACTGCAGAATTCTGAAATTCATTTCTCGTCACATTCATCTCTGCCGGCGACATAATAGTCACCGTTTTTTGATTACTTGGTTTGCTAACATCGATGGTTTTAGTGTTGTCTATAGCGAGAGGGCTTAGAGGGGCAATAGTCTTCTCGTGTTTGTCGGAATAAACGTCGCTAAGACTCGACGCTCGGGAGCGACGACGTAGATTCATCTGAGTGATCTGCCGCTGAAGCATACCCGCTTTCCATTTCGGTAGCGGTTTAGGCGTATGTAATGGCGTAGGAGTAGACTTGGTGCTTGTTGGACTCGGTTGCGTACTGAGTTGAGCGGGTCTTATGGAAAAACGTCGGGTACTGAATGGTTGTTGGATCGGCGACGAAATTCCCGGTAATCCTTCCATATTTACGAGCGGTTTCTTCTGTGACACGGAAATGAAGGGTTCCGTTGAGATGGATCCTTGAAGAGTCCGATCGTCTAGTCTCTGAGAGAATCACAATTGAAAAATATCGTTTTAAAATAAATTCAAAAACTCAAATTCAAACTCAAAATTTACGCAAATTATCTCATTTATTTAGATTTAAAATATATGATTAATTGTAAGAAGTGTATAGAATTTCACAAAAACGTGATTGAGCTTACCGACAATCGTGGTGACTCATAATCAGACGATGTGGGAGGACTCACCGGGGTCGCTACCGGCCTCAAAGAGAATCTAGATTTCATTGGAACACTTCCCTTCCTGATATAGGCTGTAGGAGTGCTGGAGCCGGAATAATTGGTATCAGCCAATTTAAGGGATACTCTTCTACTCGATTGATACGACTGCGCTCCCGTAACGGTATTCTGATTGCTTTGAGTCGCCGAAATCGAATCAGGTGCATTCGAGAAAAGAGTAAAGAGACTGGGTAACTTCGGCGGACTCAGGCAGGCCGTTCCTAGTTTTCTTTTGGGTTTAGTGGCATATTCATCGGGAACTGTTCCTACTTTTGCGTGAAGAGCGGTTAAGGCTCTAAGAAAATCTGCCAGACTTGTCTCTTCCAGCAGATTATTGCCTTCCAGATAATTCGGTAGATCACCACCAGTATGCGTATAATAATGCGGCCTCTTCAAGATTGATTCGCGCCTTTCGCTCAAATATGAAGGCAGCGGACTCATCGAATTATTCTGTTGATTGCTCTTTTCATTATCGTCTATTGTCTCGACGACTTTTTCCGTATTCCTCGTATTAGGACCAACGTCCGACAATCTTTTGTTCGCGAATTGTTTTCTCCATCTGGGGAAGAAATTTTTGGGCGCGGTGATTGGCAAAGCGAACGATGCAAACTTCTTGTACGGCTTGTTAGCGTTGTCCTTTGAGGATATGGTCGCGTCGCGATCTTTCATCAGCTCTTGCAGCTTCGTCGAGGCTACTCCGGACCAAGTCCATTCGGCGTTATTTTGGATGGAATCGTCCTTCGTAGCGCGCAATCGTATTTCGCTGGCCGCTCTGGATCGAGGCTTACCGATCGGGAACTTGTCACCGCCGATTGTCCATTGGGAAACGTTGTTGGCTAGATCCTGATCGATCGATTTACTTTGTTGCGTCTCGTTCTGCACATCGGTTTGTTTCTCGATCTGATCCCACTCGAAGTCATCCCGCGGAGGTATATAACCGAGGATGTTCACCAAACGCGCTAGAAGTTCTGCCGGTTGCACTATAGCGTGTGCAGCGAATGTTGCGTTTTTATCTATTCGTTGAAGATCCGTCTCAGACACCACACGTGTAAGTTCATCCTTAAAATAACACATCATTTAAGATATAATCTTAAAAAAAGAAATTATATTACGCTTGAAAAATGGCTTACTGTTGGTACTACTTCGCTATTAGCTCGTCGTCGTGGATGTGGTATATAAGTGTCCGCGTAGCCACCAATTGTTAAATCTCGGAGATTCGGGAAACTGTTGCTGCGCGGAAATTTTGCCGTAGGTACTTCGTAATCGTACTCATCTACGTATACTCTCTGATAAAAAACAATAAATATTAAATATATAATTAATTAATATATAATTACACAATAAAGATTAATAATTTGTATTAATAATATAAATAAATAATAATATAAAAAATAATATAAAAAGTTATAATTACTGTTTATAATATTCTATATTAATCCATTACGTTAATAAGGGGATAAGCTTATTAGTTTATTAAGATTTACGTTTATTAAGATTAGTTTATTAACAGTTTTCTTAAGAAAATGAAAAAGATAATATAAGGAATATTTTTATAAAAAATATGAGAAAGTATTTTCGCAGCATATTACTTAAGGATATCTGATCCAGACCAGGTCACTTACTTTGACCTTAGAGAGCTGTAGCTCGTTAAAAACGCGGCGCAGGTAGTTGACTTCTTTGTTAAACTCGTTCCAAATCTTGCTCTGCGTATGCTTGAGATTCATCGCCAGTTTGTGTTCGAGCCTCGTGATCTTTTTGCTGCGCATACCGCGAGCGATAAATGTCATTATCATAACGATGTAGCCTAATCCGAAGGAGATCCAGCAAATCAGAAATATCTTGTACATGATGAAGAATGGACCACTTCCCTTTCTATTATCTTGGCCTGATATTCAAGGAGAGAATTAAAAATAGCAGACTATTTTTACTTAAAATAGCAGATTATTTTTATAAATATTCTTTATTAATTATTTTTTTTATTAGTTGATTACTATGCAAATAATTTTAATTTATGGTAGGCGTATGAAATAACTTACGAGTTAAAATCTGTTTCCAACGTGAGCATGTAACGATTGAAAACATTTTTCTTTTAATTAGGCGGAAGGTAAGCTCATAGATTGCATACTTGGAAACGATTGATGTATGTGATAAGAGTACAAGTGTATACAGTTTCAATATTATCAATCAAGAAAGCTGACAAAATTTATCATTATAGTCTCAAGTAGTTCAACCAAGTTAAATTAAAATTAAAAAATAACTCGAATAAATTAATAATTAATAAATCTGTTAATAATTCTGAATTTTGTATTTCTTTGAATATAAACAAAAATATGATCTCCAATAACATATCCATATCTCATCTCTTTTAAAAAAAAATTCAATACTTTTTTCTCAGAATATAAGTTCCTAGAATTTCTTATGTTTTTCTGTTTTATGTATAGACATATAATAGAAATATTTTTATCTCTTCCGTTATTGTATGTAAAATATTTTATGAAGCGTTTTGTAAAATTTTTAAAATAATAATCGACGATATAATAACACAACGAAACGTATTCTAAATTATTCTCCGTATTTTAAATCTGTTTACTTTAACAGATACTGACATACAAAATTTCTTTAATCATGTTGCAATCAATACTATTTTATCTCTATGGCAATATATTTTTGTCACATGTCTGAATTAATTTGAGTAATAAATGATATGATTAAATGATTGATATATTATTCATAGAATATAAAAGAGCATATTTCCGAGAATTGTCGAAGAGCGCGCAATTTTACGATTTGTGTCGCAAAAACAGAACCTTGCTTGCCAGCGATAAAAAAATAATCACTCGTTTCTCATGCGTCTGAAGAATCGATAAGATAGAATGTACTCACCTGCCACGAGATCACCGAAACCGATGGTCGTGAGAGTGACAAAGGCGTAATAGACCGATTGATCATAAGTCCAGCGCTCGTAATACATGAACAGGATTGCCGGGAAGAAAATGAACACGATGAAGCCGGGTATCAGATATAAAAGGATCTGCGCGGCTAGTCGCATTATTTTACGCGCATCAGATCGTATCGGCTTCTTGCAGGGATACTCAGATGACTGGCGATTCTTGTAGGATTTGTATTTTTGATAGGCCTTAATGAACACGCGGCTGAAAAATTCACCCAACTGCGTCAGCAAAATCCCATTCATCGGGATGCCTATAAGTCCGTAGAAGATCATCAGGATGCGACTGAGAGTATCTGTAGGTGCCAGATTGCCATATCCTGAGTAATAATAAATTAATCATTTAGAAAAAGTAAAAAAATACTGGAAATTGTTGATAGATTAAAGGGAAGCTAGCAATGAAAAACAAAAATATATTTTCAAAAAAAATCATAGTAATTTGAAATTAAGTTTTAGGAAATTTCAAATAAAGGAAATGTTTTTACAATAAAGTTGTAACTATTGTAATATAAAATTATGTATTTCAATTTAAAGAAATAATAGCTTAGATAAAATAAGAATTCGATAAATATTTCTTCTCTAACTAGAGTGTCTTAATTCTTCAAACACCTTCTTGGAATAAATATCTGTTAAACCTTTACGTACTCAGAATAAATGTGCAAACAAAAAAATCTTGTAATTACGTACAATTAAAAAGTACAAAAAAAATGACATAAGTATATAATCCATTCACTTTAGATAAAAGCTGATTCTAAATACATTTTTGTACTTAAAGTGGATCTACGCTATTTAAATACTTCAACTGATATCTACCGATAGTGCTAACGACCGTGTAAGCGAAGTAGAAACTGTTGTAGAAATCCCATCGGCGATATTCTTTTCTGGCATCGATCTCATTGGAGATCGACTTGCCGCAATAATCGGAGAGGTTCGCCAGAATGCCGTACGTATCATTCTCAATACCGTTACAATGGTTGGAAAGTAAATCTAAAAAAAGGATAATTACGTGTTTGAAAAACAGATAATCGCCATTGGATGATCTCGAACTTTATCTCGCGTGTCTGCGTCCGTCCACCAGGATAGTCCCTCTCTTTCACCATGCTCTCCGAACGGAACAATCTCCGTTTTCGAGACTATTGCTTTACTACGCTATCTTATCAGTCGATATTTGTCGTCTTATATTGTCGGTTTGTGCAAGCAAGCCTCGCTTGGACCTTCCGCGCACACAATTGCGACCGCAAGCGTACGTCAAGGCTAACAGAAAATCAGGGCATTCTTCGCAGGAAAAAAAAAAAAAAATAAATAATCCTGTAGTTCTCCACGCGAGAACGTGTTTTTATTTTTCGTGATGGTCACCCGAGGTAGGGGTTAAGCACGTGAGCGGATATCATCACTTTTGATGCGGCGATTTTGACAGGAGTGGCCGATGAGATAATGATTTCGTAATCAGTCAGCCCTTCCAGTGACACTGACACTGGCCGTCGACTAATGCCAACTCTTCGTCGCGCGACATTGTCGGGCTTCATTTGAATAACGCCCTTTTCTTGCGGGAACAATTCATCGGGCACGGTCACGCATACAAAACCCAATGACGCCAAACAGTCGACTTTCCGGCTATTTGCAGAGATCGTCGTCACAAAAGATCCAATGCATTTTTCGCAATTGCTATAAATCCAGCCTTCCGAGAAATTCGAGAACTTTTGAGAACATAAAAGCTCGAATATTTAATAGTCTATGCATCTAGAGGTATATAAAGGTTCAAGTTCGTCAATTTCGATATCTGAAAAATTTAAGATGTTAGATAAAAACGTTGCAATATTTAGAACTTCAAGGAATTAGAATTTCAAGCTCTCCGTTACCCCAATAAATATGTACGCATGATTGTACGTTAAAAGGAACACGTTTGTTGTAATAACATTAATGATTTAGAAAACGACAGGCGACCGTCACACAGTGAATTAATGCAACCTCAGTCGATGACAGAACTGTTTTAAGATGCTAAATATGCCTAAGGTATCTCGTTAGTAGTTGCATGTCGGAAGTTTTGAACATTTTACACGCTGGATTCGTCTTCTATATAACCGTGGCCTAAGCATTATTTGCATTATTATCACCGAAATCTCGAGACACTACGAACGACCGCGTAATCGGCTGATTAATTGTAAGATGTCGGAGCACGATACTGATGTCTTTGTTAAGATGTTTCCAATTAATGTTTAGAACCTTAAACTTTAATTTCCGTGATAACGAAATCTCGAGGGTATCTTTTCGCTTATCGAAATGGAAAATATCATTTGTTAACAAAGATACGTTAAATTGAAACATCGATAATGAGATCTCAGGAAAATTTGTTTTCATGTCCATTTCTATTAATATAGCTGGACTTTTATCTCGATTTAATTTACTCTTTATCTTTTTCTAATTTTTAGATCTATCAAAATTAACTTAAGATTAACAAAGATTAAAATTAATCTTTCTAACATTGATAAACATGGCCATTAGAGAACAAAAATTAAAAAATTTAATAACCATTCATTGAAAAGTTTAGCTACCGTTTATTGAATTGCAACAACTGTAATAATATTAATTTCTTTTATCATATTTAATTTATAAAATAAGCTCCGCTATTAATATTCCAAGAACCTCTCTGTATTTTAATAAATAGATACGCGGATTGTTCAATGTCGCATTGCAACTATGCATTACAAATGACAATTGCAACTTGGTTTGTGTTTTAGTCATTCCGCTCACGTAGCTTTCCGTTTGATACATCACCGGTGCTCCAACAAAGTTTGCCATTATTAAAATAACTTTTAAAAATCGGAAGATTTGCTACTTTTATATTTCTTGCTAATCATGAACAATAATGAATAAATATGTTTAAAATAATTTTTTAAAATTTAGATGTTTGTTTAGCAAAAAGATAACATTTGTCACTTAGCTAGTGTCCAATTTTGAATTAAATATTTTAAAAAATAATTACATAATCGAATTATCAATCTATTAAGAGTTGCTTAGATTTAAATCAGAAATATGTTTTCTTTATTCGTTTTAATATCAAAAAATTCTTTATTTCCAATAATAAAATAATTAAAATATTTCGAAGAAATTTTCATTAAGAAGAAACCGATAATGGAAGTTATAGGCAAATTTTGACAGGAATTTAAAACACCGAGTTGTATTTGTCGAATATCATATTATATAATGCATCAAAGCAATTGTATCAAGTGTCTGGAAGATTTCTCGTTAATAAGGACGGATTAAGAACCACGCGATTTTCGTGCAAGATAGCCGATATATCAGCGATTATTATCTTTATGTATCTTTTCTTACTGTAGATTATTATGCGTTCTTTTATAGACTCGTTGATTGTCCTCTCTTCGTTCTTACTCTCGATGACATGAAAAATAGAGGCGCCCAGTGTCAGATATGCGAGGAATAGTAACAGTAGGGCGAGCCATTGCTTCTTGGACATTCTCGGGTACTATGGCGACGCTGAAATCTGGACGTGGATCGGACAAGAGGTAATTCCCAAGGGATGACAATTTCCGCGATTCAGGTCCCGGAATCACGACATTCCCGTTGTTGAAGCGGCAGGCACGCCGCGAATGCGCATTCTTGACATGTTTCCCAATTAGATGGAACCAAAGCGACTGAACCGAGTGAGCTTCGCCACAAGCGCACTAAGACTTCTCCGCGAGGAGTGACTCTCCTTCACGATTTCCCGAACCGTCGTCGTCGTATCGATGATGACGAGATCTCACGAAGGCGATGTTATCACCGCAGAAATCCGATATCTCCGATCTGTCAGAAGTCCTCCTGCTGATCTAGGCGCCGCGTCGCCATTGTAATTGCAAATCGCTGGATGCCCGGAGAATCCTGCGACCAAAAGATCGTATAATACATAACAATGTAACGAAACAATGATTAAAATTTAGAGCGAGGACACTTTCGCAAAATTTCATTAATTTATATCAAGTGTCATACAAGAACTATGTATTGGAAGATAATAAATACACGTCAGAAAGAGATTTGAATATAAAAAGCCGATGTCTTTTTCACTTTTTGAATAGTAATAACGTAATACCGGTCTATTAAAATCTGCTACGATTATCTGACTGACACTACAAGTTTTCAATTGTACACTCCACAGCTCCAGCCTGAGACAGAACAGAGTGCGGGTAGGATGTAGAACTCGCAATTACCCGATGTGAAATCTATCTGGCACACCTTCGACGTCGAGGTACCGAAATCCGTCCCTCGACAGTGCCGGTTGCACAATGCGTTCGGGCTCCATTGGTGAACACCATATATCCTATCAGTTTGCTGTATCATGGATAGTAATAGCGATCCACGTGGATCGTAATAGCGATCGATTTTTGCATTCGCATGGATAATTTACGACATAGAACAACACGTCGCGCGTGTCTCTCTCAAGTTCACACCTCTCGTCCGATCGCGTGACTCGCCGGTTTGAACGGTATGGCGTAGAAATTTGCATAAGTGCATCGCGTAAGCTCGAGACAGTACAAAGTATTTCAGAATTGGCGGAAAGTCATATGAGGTCATATGAGAGAGCTCGTATATTGTGCTCGCCTATTGTGAAATCGAGAGTGAATTGCTTCTCGATAAAAATATCGAATTAAATTAAACAAAGGAGCAATCAAATGTCAACATCTTAATCAAATTGAACTAAATTAGGCATTACAAACGCGTTATTCATTTTTTATATAAAAGGAACAAAAATTAATATATTATATATAATACATTATTAATTTATAATTAGTAATTTAATTCAGTTTAATTTCAAACTGAATTAAAATTTATTAAATTGCAATACGAAATATGTTTCAAGTCGCATAATGTTCGAGGATTAACGTACAACACACTAAAATAAAAAGTGACGAATAGCGATCGGAAAGGATACCAGACAGACGTGTTCGATTCGCCTTGATCCTCTTATTACGTTATTGCATGTTCATAAATATAATTTATAACGTGCAAATGTCTACGGCTGCAAAACGTCTTGACGTGTCGATCTTTATTTGCTAATAATGTCAATGTGGACATTGCTTGTTTGTACTGACCCGAGAAAATTCGCATTTGCTGCGAGCAAAAGTTGGAATCTCCCCGAGTAATGGAGTCTCAAGTTTTTGGCAAGGAGAGCTTTCGTCTCTCGAATTTGACGTAGAATGTCAGCAGAGGCACATATATCAAAAGATGAACAGATACAGATGCGTTTTCTCAAGGAGTTATAAGGAGTTCATTTCATTTTAACAGATTTATCCCTCGCATCTCCACTTCGTCGCTGGATTTCTTTGTCTTTCGCCCACGACGAAAGACTGATTCGTCGTATATCGCGAACCTTCGGTGACGTTAACTATCACACATCACGCCAGTATCGGCGATCGCCGCTAATTGGCGAGATAAATTTGCGAGCGCGTTTCGACGCGCGGACATTTCCTTTATTCGCGAAACAGCACAAATGACGATCAGTTATCGCATCTATTTTCTCCTCAAGTTCGCTGGTCTCACTTCTTTTATACGCTTAGCTAAAACGAGAAGTATGATTCATTATAAAATGCAGCAATAAGTAGCAAAATGTTAGAAAATTGTAGCAGTTTTTCATGTCATTTTTTTATTTGAAATAATTTTATTTTTGCCTGAGAAACGTCATAATACATGTAAATTCAAAGAGCGAAAGACGTGATGCCGTACTTTCGTGATGAACTAATAAATGAATACATTCATTAAAAAAAAATCTAAGTTTCGTTACTTTATTTAAATATTAAATAAAGTAAATTTTAAATAATGTAATAATTTTTTTTCATAACGTAAACTTATTATTTTATTTTCAAAAGGTACTTGTTAGATTAAAAAAAAATAATTAGGCTTTATCTAGAGAATATTTTTTATACGATGGATTATACGATAAATGCAAAATTATATCTTAAATTTGTGCACTTTTTGCTCTTTAGATAAAGAGATTAACGATCTTATTTAGTAATGCGATTGCTATCGTCTCGCTATAATTTGGTAATTGTGAATCTCATGCGAAGCCTATAACTTTAAAATAAATAATACACTTTGATGTAAGCAGGTTAAAATGATTAGTTGAACAGACAACGTTTTACGACGGCATTTTAACTCGAATAATTTTATGACCGTTAACGGCCACTTAACAACTGTTATTATCTTCCATTTACTGCACACGTCGTGTTGGTCACGGTTGCGGTTAAAATATGCCGATACTAACGCACGTGCGGTAATTAGTTAACAATTAATGTGTAAAACAGTTTGTCTCGAGAAGAAATATGAAGTATTAATCACGAGTCTCACAGTTTATCGCGCCATCAAATTGAGCTCTAATAGCTTGAAAAAAATTAAACGCATCATTTCGCGGAATTGATGTTAATTACGTAAGAAAGATAGATTGTTCGTACTCATTGCGTTGACTTAATTAATATAATTATTGAGCATCATGTATATGTTATAAAAACATAGAATTTGCAATCATAAAAAAATAGCTTCATTTATGCATAAATTATAAGAAAAGCAATGTTATTTTCGATTATTAATTCCGTTATTACCAAAAAAGTTAAATCAGAAAATTTCCATTGGTAATATCGATTAAGAACTTATTTAAAAGTAAACCTCGTGACTTGCTTAAATAATGTTTAATATTTAAAAATAACATTCGTTTTCTTACTGCCAGATACAATGTTAAAATTGATGTATCCTTCAATAAATCATACTATTTTTGCATATGAATTAAAGTGAACATATGTCTGACATAAATCATTAAAATCGATCAAAAAACGTTCATTGGCAAATATCGCAAGACAACATTGCGCAGTAGTAATTGTAATTATGTAGTAGCAATCGAATGACGTGAGACATATACATGAGATAATTACTAAATAAGAGAATCGATAGCATGTTGATCTGTTTCATCACCATGATAACGTTAAGATTGACACCGATACGTTATCAAATATTTTTTCATATTTTAAATTTCCTATTAATCGCTACTGCGATACTCGGTTACATTTAATAATTTTTAAATACGCTTGTTTACTTGCCACTCCAAGTATTTTTCTTAAAGTGGAAAGCGAGGGCACTACTATACTGAACAAAGGCGACATTATTATTAAATTCATTTCATTTTTATATGGTATAGGCATATTTTTTATATTTTTATAATAATCGAGATTTTCTGAATTGATGATTTACATAATATTAACCCGTTTCTTTCTTTAAATAAAAATTAACAAATATGACTTCATCAAAGTTAATATCAAACATAACTATATAAACAATAAAAATTGCATATATTTGAAATATATATTTAATATATATAATATAAACGTTAAAATTTTATCTATATTTTTTTGATTCAATTTGTTGTTATTAATAAGATCGATTTTTACAATAAAGTATGATTAATATTTAAATTCGTATGAATTTATTAGATATGGGTAACTGTTAAAATTTGATAACATATAATATATGTAAAAATTAAAAATGTCTTTACATATTAAACATCAACAATGGTTAATACGAAAATATTACTCTTCTTTTATCTTTATCAGTTTATTTAATCACTTAATACCTACCTGTCTCATCTTGTTGCATGCTGCCTTAATTCGTTGCACATATCTACGTTAAGCCGATCCGATTTTGTAATAACATTCATGATCACGATTGAAATTTTGAATCATCTTCGAACAGCAAGATAAATTTTATTGATAGAAATTAGATAGGCGATTCTGATTATTATAAAAAGCCTAAATGTTATCTGTCGGATTAACGGATCAGCACGGTCGAGCACTTGGTCGAATGGAGACTATCCGTAATTGAGAGCAGCACTATGCGAAAGATCGTCCAGATGGTGGGAGGACCGAAAATGAATTGTGATAGTACTCATCAAAATGATCTTCTTAAACGATATGCTACGTGCTGTAAAGATATAAAAAAATATAGAAAATGTTTTAAATTTAGGAAAATAATTTAATTTGGTGATTACATTACTAGCTGTTCTTTGAAGATAGAATAAGAAGGAAAAATTGAGATAAAAATCAAAATGTTTCAGTTCATCTTTAATACAAGGCCAATTGTTTCAATCGCGATATGTATATAACTGCATTATCTGCTACACTTCGCGTCTCGTACTTAGCCGTGTTAATGCGTCTGTTTAATCAGCGATCAAACGCTAATAACAGTTCCTTTTTTAGCCATAAGAACTTGATCGGAGAAAAATATTGAATTTATTCGAAAGATGATACAACCATGTATAGCTATTATATATCTAATAATTTCCTAAATATTGAAGATTTAAATTTAATTTTTAAAACTTTAATTAAAGTTTATATCACAATCATCACATAAATTTCTTTTATTTCTATCAAGTAATTTTATTCGCAGAAATATTACACAAATGTTTCGTGATAGGTATATCGAGGAAAAAAAAATTATATATAAATCTCGAAAAAATGAAGGTACAAAACATAATACATATATTTTTCTCGACTTTCTTGAAACACTATGTGATATAAATATTATATCCATCTCGTTCGTTCGACATCGTTATAAAGTATGTCATCACATATATGTCTTAATTTCTATCTTCTTATATTAATTCGCAATAAAATCTAGTATTAATCACGACGATTTTTTTTTGTCCAATTCGTTATCAATATGTACAGCGTTTTTTTCTTACATGTACTACATTCAATTACGCTGACTCGTATTGTCCTATTTAATGACGTGAAAAAACAATATAATTTGTTAAATTGCATTTACATGACTTGACATTGCAAATTTTATAAACAAGCTGATAATATGTATTTCTTTCTCTTTCAGAAAATAAGTTGTTAGCAACGCAAAAAAAATACCGAGTAAAAATTACCGAGTAAGTGAAATGTTAGCAGTGCCATTTAAATAAAAGTTATTTAAATAATTCCAGAACTACAAATCTTAGTACTGATTTAAATTAGATTCCACTCGATTTCTGCAGTCATATTTTGTTAGCACTTATTTTTGTCAGATTTAACTATTTGATTAGTTGTGCAGATTATCGGACAAATAATAAAATAATAACTATCATTCGCACATATATCATAAGATTAAAATGTTTCAAAGTCAACTTAAAAATAAAACAAAATTACAATGTATTTCTAATGAAACTATGATAGTTTTTCAATAGCTGCTTTTCTGATAAAACCGAGTACAAAATAGTCTATATTATAAAATTGAATGAATAAATTTCTTGTTTTAATTTAAAGATTAATAAAAAAATATTTATAGCAAGTACAGATAACTCAGTTAGTTTAACGTTATGTAATTCTGTGTGAAAAAAAATACTGCTTGATAACTATAGGTGGACAAAATGTAATATAATATATATTTTTCTTCCACATTCACACTTTCAGTAAGGCACTGCTTTCAATTTAAGAACATAATCAGAGATTGTGTAAATATTAATCTCTTCTATACACTTTTTTTCAATAGATCTTACCTTGCTCGCTTATGTTCAGAATATGAATAATGATCCATATAATTTTGCTAAGATCATTAAATTCAATGCAACAATGAAAAGAATCACGTGTTTCCTTAAAGTTCTTTTATCAGAAATTTAATTATGAATCAATCTAGAACCAACCAATCAAATCAATTCAAATCCGAAACGAGCATTTTATGTGATGTTAACTGCTGTATGTAAACTGTCACTATTACAAAAAATCATTGATGCATTTATTGTATATTTCTGTTTAATAAATTTATGTAACTAATAAAAAACTTAAATTTGAGCTCACAGCTATCATAGGTGCCGCAGATACTGCTTAACATTATTTTTTTAGTTTGTATATGCTTATTTGATTTTACTCTGGTTAAAGCATATCCATGAATGTTAACGAAAATTGTTAACATTTAATGTTTATAACTTTCCTCACACATGTTACATTACACGTCGCGCATTTCTTTCCTTTTGCATTAGTTCCAGCCGAACTCTATGTCCTCGATTTTTATATTCAATCCTTCGAATGTTGTATCGATGCCAGGATCATCGAAATTTTCATCCAGATCGATCTTCTGTATTTGAAATTTCAAATGCAGAAATGTGGCTTTTTCGAGATAATAATTACAGAAAGATATATATATATATATATATATATATATATA